TCCAGGAAAGAACTTTGCCGAGTGTCTTGAACAGTGGAAGAGACTCTGGGAGAGCCGTGTGAGGTCCCAAGGTGCCTACTTCGAAGGGGACTGAGGCGTCCTCGTCCCACGTGCCGTGTTTCTTGTACCTTGCCTCTTCTCCAGTAGACGTCTGTTTTTCACAGTACGTGGCTGGGTACTTACTCTCTGGACAAATATTTGTAAAGATAGTCCCGAGTTGTTGTGCAGTTCAGTAGTGTGTTTCTGTATTATCGGATAGCATTCTAGTGCGTGGCTTTGCTACAGTTCGGGTTTTCCTCCACACGTGAATGGACATGTGGTCGCTTTCAGTGTGGGCTGTTTTGGAAAGTCGCCGTGAACGGGCACATGCAGACCTTCGTGTTTCCACGCCTCCCGGAGATGTAACCGCGGGCGGAATCACGGGGTGGACGGTAAGGGCAGGTTTACCTTCTTGGGCCACTGGGAGATGGCTTTCCAAGCCACTTGCATCATTGCCAGAATTTATTTATTTATTTGTATGCTATTGATTCCAGCGAGGTGGGGAGGGAGAAAGAGAGGGAGAGAAACATCGATCGGTTGCCTCTTGCACGCCCTGCGAATGGGGGACCAAACCCTGCAAGGTAAGCATGTGCCCTGAGCAGGATTCAAACCCACGAGCTTCCAGTTTGCAGAATGATGCTCAACTCACTGAGCCAGGATGTGTTGTGAGAACGCTTGTCAGGAAACCCAGGCAGGGGACCCATGCTACCGTGTATGTTAATTTATAAAACCTCCCACTCAGGGCGCAGCCTTTGCGTTGACTAGTGATTCTACCTGGAGGGCGTCGCCCCCTGGGGCCGTGAACCTGCTTCTGCCCTAGTTCACCTGCACAGAAGGACAGATGCCTCACTCTGCCTGTGCCTCGGCACCTCCGTCCAGTCTTACTGGTCCAGGGGAAGGAGAGGCCTCCTGTAGCTCTAGTTTGCAAGTGATGCCTGCCTTTCACTGCAGGGAGCAATTCTGCTAAGGAAGATGATGGCTTAGGACATGACAATGGGAAAGAAAATTAAGAGTCGAAATCGGTGCTCAGATTGATCTTCCGGACCCCAGGCCTCTCCCACAGAGGGGAGGGTGCCGTGAAATGCCAGCCACTGTCTGCCGGGCTGCGCGCACTAGGGCTCCTTGGCGGAAACATTTCATAACTGGTAAAATCTCCCTGTGAGTCACCGAAATGCCACCTTGCAAGAAAGCCATTCTGAGAGAATTGGACAGAGTGAAAATTACCAGGTAAATGGAAGAGAGATGTTTCTTAAAGTCAAAAATTTCACTTGCAGTTTAGCTTATCAAGACATTCCCGGCCCATTCCCTGGTGCGTGTCCCCTTGTGAGATGCGAGGCCCCCGGTAATCGGGGGCAGTGCTGCGGGGGGGTGTGGGTCGCGGAGCCCCCATCACGGACACTGGAGACAGACGAGTCCCTAGAATTAAAAATCATTCTCTCACGGCCCAGAAAAAAAAGGAAGCTTTAAACACACCTGTTCCGGCCGCGGGAACCGGCAGAGCAGACAGTCCGCTGGGCTCTACACGTCCCGGGGCCCGGCCCCCCTCGGAATCTGTCCCAGACGGTTCTGACTGTCCAGCCGACACGGCTGCCCCTCATCGCAGCGGCCACGGAAGCCCAGTGCGTGTCTCCTCACTGTGCCCCCATTTGTCAAGGCTGCCCTGGCACTCTTGCCCTGGGGAGCCCCTCAAGACCACCATCCGCCCCCAGGACCCTCACCCCCTTCGGGAAGGGCTCTGGCACTTCCCTGTGTGTCCAGTCACGCAGAAAATCGCATTCTAGTTGCCGCAGCATGTTCTTTGGGGACGCCATGAGTGACAAGTGGGTTAGTGGGTCTTAGAACATGCGAACACACGTGCACACACACCGTGGCTGTGGGAGTGACCGCCGTCGCGGTCAGTGTGGGTATCAGTAACAGCTATGGGACCAGACAGTCGCCACCTGGTGACCAGGTGGACTCTCTGTGGGTGAGGCACTCGAAGCTGTCAAGCTGCTCTTTTTTGGATGATTATCCACCGTTTTTTCTTTAAAAGGATCCCAGACTTGTAAACACGTCTTGGACTTCAGGCTTTTAGACCTTATCTATCACGATGCTGGGGTTTTCCTTAACCCCAGACATAGTCTAGGCCACGGGTGGCAAACACAAGGCCCGTGGGCCGAATCCGGCCCCCACCTTGTTCTATCCGGCCCGGCACCTGGTTTCTACCTGGCGGCAGCGGCCAGCTCCTTGCCCCTCGTTAAGGAGCAGTTACATGTACACAGTCCTAACATTCCGTTCAGCCCTTTGAAGGCAGCCGCAGGGCTGATGTGGCCCCAGTGACAATGAGCCTGACACCCTGGTCCATGCTCTGGTGGCTCTGATGGCTCTGTGAGGTGGTTAGTGGCAATGTGCCAATTTTTCATTCCTCCTCTTCTCCTCGGACCCAAGGAATGTTTTGAGTGCCTGCCATGTTCTATGCCCAGAGACTGGAAAGCCGTCTAGCATGGCATGTTTTATTTACTTTTTGTGGGTGTGGATAATTGTTAAAGTGTTAGTTTGTCGAGAGCCAAGAGTACAGTAGTTTCCCATCCTGAAGACTTAGGACAATTAGGAATTGTCTAAATTCTACTCATTTCAAGAAGATTCTCAACACCGGCTGGTCAGGCAGGCAACCCCACGGGACGCCGTCACTAAGAATGAGAAGGTGCAGAGACACTACGAATTTCTCCGAGCTCTTGCATATCAACACCCAAAGTGCAAGGATACTGGGACAGGGGGAGGAATTGCAGTCGCTCCTTTAACTCCCCAGAGGACACACATTCATCTCCCCCTGTGATTAGCCCTGGGACCACGTTCCCAGCGGAGTCGAATGACTCCCTGGTGTGCGGGTCAGAGAAAACTTCCCAACTTACAGAACAGTCGCTGACTTTCACAGCAGCGTTGGTCAGAAATCGTTTCGGAAACGCCCAGGTCATCGAACTGGGTTTCAGCCGGTCTCGAGGATTGGTCAGCAGCTGGACTGGCTGAGTGTGCAGACGAGGAAAACGCATCTGGACACGAGGCCACTCACGGAAGTACAGACGGTCCCACAGAGGCAGGTGGGGTGAGTCAAGTGGACGCCATGTGCAACGGGCTGCGCTCTCCACAGAGAGTGCGAGGCTCCGGACAAACTCCAGATGTTCAACGGTGGGTGAAAGGCACTCATCGCAAGTATCCTGCTTGTGATGACCAACCGAAAAATGAAAATAAAAAGTGGGCAAGTGTTCAAGGTACATTATAAAGACGTGGTGGTCAATGGTATTGAAGGCCACTGAGAAACATGTGTTCGACTATCAGTATCTAATCAGCCGGCACCAAATAAGATTTTAAATTTGTTTCTTATCAGGCTACCTGCCATGTAGTAGGCAATGGAAGTGATCTTCAAATTATTGTCCAATTCCACCTGAAAGAGAGATTTCACAAAGGACACGCAATTCACAGCATCTAACGTTACTGCCATTTCTAGGCTAAGTCCCATGGAAATTCATAACTTCAGAATGAAAGTCACAAAGATGCAGCTACCTTCATAACGCCGATGTTGCTGTTATAAATATTTCATGAGCACTGCATGGGCCGGGGCAGACCTCCATTTTCATGAGGCAGAATCTGCGTGGCTCTCAGTCTCCAGATTTTACTATTCATGACGTACCGTGCTCTCTGTACAGCATTCCGTACCATGCTCCTCAGTAGTTTTGGTTTAACGAAGAAATTACTGTTCTGAAAAGGAGAACAAGCAAAGCCAAAGATCCTTTTTAGTTAAAATTATTAGCTTCGCTGAGTGGAGACAACAGCAATCAACAGAGACCCCCCCCCCCCAGCGCCGTGTCTTAGCGCGTGAACACAGGATGACGGATGGAGACGCGCTATGCCCAAGTGGAAAGGTTCTTTCTAAAGGTTACAGCGTTCGAGATCTCATCTTAAGGGACTTGGAAAGGTTAAAATGCAAAGAGCAACTTTCTTACACATAAAATATTAATTACCGACAATATACTTGCCTGCCATTTCATAGTTTAAATATATGGCTATATAATTTCTGGGTTTTGCTTTTATTCAAAAAAACATTTTAACTTACTAAGCTAATGTTACCAAATTCAATAATGAATTGCTGTTGCATACTTTATGGTAATGTATCAAAGCGCATTATCAGTATCTGTCGGAATACATTTTGCACTGAAAGTGATGAAAAAGGGACTGTTATGTGTGTTGAATCAGAGAACGTCACCACGGCTAAGTCACCTTCCGTGGATGGGACAGGTGAGTGCACTCCAGTGGCACCTGTGCCTTTCAAAATCGAGCATTCGAGAGTTCACATCATCACTGCCGTTTTGGTCAGTTCTCTGAAGAAGGTGAATGTTGACAAGTGCCACACAGAGCCTGGTGACGGACACGGAGTGAGCCACCGCTCCCGACACCAATGTACTTGGCACAGAGTCCATGTCATAATCGGACTAGAGGGGCGGGCGTGGGTTTCCTTCTGAACACACATCAGCGAGAGGGAGGCTGTGAACAATGAATGTAGCAGGCGGCAGAGTTCATAGCTTCCGCCTGGGGGTCCGCAGTTTGAATGTTTTTTGTGACACTTAAACCAAGGGGTCACTGGAAATTCTGTCACGCTCCCCAAACTTCCCAAACCTGCCACCAGAAGTTTATGTTTCATTCCTGCTAAATAGACAACACAGCCTCCCAATTGGTTCTTCGTGGTTGTATTTTCCAAAGGCTCCATTGAGGAGGGAAAGGGTTGTGCTAGGAACTCGTGTTCACTTCCAGGGCGTCCGCCGCAGCCCCCGAGGGAGTCCGGCTGTGACACTGAGAAGTGCACTGTGGGGTGGGCTCGTGGTGGAGGCGGGTCTGCCTTGCGCACCTCCAGCTGTGCGGCGGTTTGGACACACCTTTTGATCACCATCCTGGAACCACATTCTGAATCTCCTGATCTGCTTCAACAGGACCCAGAGCTGGTGCGGAACATCTGTCGCTGGGTTCGGCAAGCTGTTCACATTCCCTTTTTTGCCAAATTGACCCCGAATGTCACCGACATCGTCAGCATCGCGAGAGCCGCCAAGGAAGGTAAGCCTCCCAGACCTGAGCCAACTGCCCAGGGACGTAAGTACCGACCTGAACTGCGGAGCCGTGTAGAGTGTGTCTCTGCCCACAGACACACGTGGTCACCACTCAGGCGCACAAGTAGACTCCAGTGTTTTGTTTGGGGACAAAAGAGTGTGAATGTCACACAAAGAGACTTACAAATCAAAACCCGTCACAGCAGATGACTCTGAAACAAAGAGCCTGATGGTGTGACAATCCAGCAACAGCCTTTGAACCTTTAAGAAAGTAAAAAAAAAATATGTAAGATACCAGCTTCCACAGTGTGAAATTGCTGGCAGGTCCCCATTATGCTTTCCCAGGCCTAGTCCACCGCCTTAAATATCCGTCTGGTGAATGTCCGTAGTGCTCATGGACCGTACAGCCAACGCCGGGTTTACACACCACAAACGCTGTGAGTATCCAGCGGAAACTGCACCCCGGTGTGCAAAAATGTCGTGAATTGCCTGGAAAGTAACACTGAACACAAAGCATTTGGCATCCACAAATCTGTATAATTATTGGAAAAACAGAGCGGTAGCAATTTAAAATTTTTTATGTCTAGCCTTTTAAGCGTAATTGAAGGAGTGAAATTAGTGGAGACTTTTTTGTTTAACTCTCTTATTGTGTATGCTATTCCAGTTGTCCCACTTCCCCCCCGGCCCAGCCCCCACTCCCACGGTCAGTCCCCACTCCGTTGTCCTCGTCCTCAGCTCCTCCGTGTATGTCCTTTGACTGATCCTGCACCTGCTCTCAGCCAGTGCAGACCGTGCTGTGGGCGTGCTCTGGAGAGGCAGCGCGGTGCGTGTTGTCCGGGGCCACATGGGTCCGAGTGGGTTTCCCAGTGTCCCTGCGACAACTGCAGTCAGCCTCCGTGTGCTTTTCTGTAGGTGGTGCAGATGGCGTGACGGCCACCAACACGGTCTCCGGCCTGATGGGACTCAGAGCAGACGGCACGCCCTGGCCCTCAGTGGGCGCCGGGAAGCGGACGACCTACGGTGGCGTGTCTGGTAGGTGTGGCTCTGTCTCTGCGCCTTGCTTCCGTGGGGGTCACGGAAAACCAGGAGGGCGTGTCAAAGCGAGGGTGTTGTGGCTTTTGTGGTCCCAAGGGGTTCTGTTGCTGGTCCACGTCCCTCGTGGCCGGGACAGATGGGTTCCACTCTGCTGGTGGCACAAGGTGAGGGGTCCCGCGCTGGGGCGTCCCGGCCGTCTCTCGGGATGTGGTCCGTGCGTCTGTCCCTCCAGTCTCTCCCCGGCCTGAGGGTCTGGGCACTGAGGAGAAAGGGCTCACACCAGGGCCTTCCTAGAGGAAGACAGACGCACCCCGACCTTCTCACAGTCTCAGCGCACGTCCACATTCCTGGAATTGTGGAATCTGCCTTCAGAGACACACCCTCCTTTCACAGCCGGGCATTGAAAGGCGGCGTTGGTGGCTTCGGTTGACGAGACCCTCGTAGCCCTCACGGCCCTACACACTGTCCTCCGTCACCAAACACTTGCCTCAAAACCAGAAACATTGTCACCCCCAGGTCCCCATTCAGTACCTCACTCTGTGCACTCTGGGGCTGTGACAGTGACCTTGGCCTTATGGAAACAATGCGGGGAGGTTCTTGGCTGTGCCAGTGTGAGAATTAGTCTCCTTGGTGACGGAGACGGCAGTGAGGATACAAAGCAGAGCAGCCCCCCACCCCCCATCCCCACCCCCCCTCAGGTCAGCACTGCTGGTCCCAGGACGCGTGGAGGGGCCGGGGGCGGGGCACAGACAAAGCTCTCCACGCTGGGGCATCGCGTGTTCGAGCACAAGGTGCGCCCGTGAGCCAGGACTTTAAAAGGGAAAAACAAAATAGATTATATTCTGCTGCTAACTGAACGCCAGTGCCCTTCCCAAGACCTTAAAGAGGCAGGCGGATATGGAGCAGGAGCCGCCGCACGGGGCCTCCACGTCCTGGTGGGGCGGAATCCCAGGGGCTGCCCCAGCGTGGCCCCCGGAGGAGGGGTGGGGGTCGGAGTGGGCGCCTGGTTTCCCGGCAGCCGGTTCCGTCTCCCCACCTGCCCGGCAGCAGCAGGAGAGCGAAGGGGCCCCGGGGGCTGCTGGGCGTTAAGAATGAACGGAAGAGCCGTGGCAGGAGTATTTTACGTACGTACGTACGTACGTAATGCCGTTCACGTTTGTCATTTAACCTCAGTCTTGAGTATTCCGTCATGCCGTCACACACTGTGATGCGAGTCCAGAGGCGCAGCATCAGGAAAAGCCGCCGCCCGGCCACATTTCCATAAAGCTGCGTTTCTCAGGTGCACGTGCTCATCCACGTGGGCCGCAGCGCAGCCGGGCCTGGGGAGACGCCCCCTGTCAACAGCAAGGCGTCCCTGGCGACTGGAAGGGCTTGCGCCGTGTTCCCAACGGGCTCTACTTCAAAGGGCCTGCAGTTTAGACCATCTGATTGGAAAATGGGCTTTCCCCACATCGACAAAATTAATAGTTTTTCTCCTTTAAAGCGATGTTGGCTTTAACTGGAAGGTAATGGGATCTGAAAATGCACTTTAAGAGGGCGACGATGATTTATTTTAGAACAGGAGCAGGTTCTGGGGCGAAGTGCCTTCAGTTCACGGCTTCGTGGGGCTGGGCAAAACAGGGACGGCCGGAGTCTGAGGAGCAGTGAGAACACCCCGGGGGGCTGAGCACCCCTGGCTCTGACCGGCCCGGGCGCAGGCGCCAAATGTGGCTTCAGTGCCCAGTGCCACAACAAATCTGCCGGACACTTTTATGAGATTACAAGCACCACCACGGCTCCATGCTATTTCTGGCCAAAAGATGTCCCTCTGAGCACCGGGAAGTTTGCTCCCACAGCAGTTGCCGGCATCACAGACCCCGTAAGTGGGGGTTGGCGGGATTCCTGGAGGGCCACCCGAGAGTCCTCACGCGCTGTCGATGGCCAGGAGGCAGGCTTCGCCTCTCGATGCCCTCCGGCTCTTCACTCGGCCCCCGCGGTTTTGTCCAGAGCGCGGTGTCTGCTCCTGAGCTTCCGTGGAGAAGGAGCGAGGCCCTTGGGGTGTGAGTGCACCTGCTGCAGAGCCTTGGGCACCCTGCGGGGACGTCCCTGCCAAGGGACAGCACTGAGGGGGGACAGCACGGGGAAGGGAGAGCTCAGGTAAGGCACGTTGGCCAGGTTGTCCCCGTACCGGTCAGTCATGGATCTGGAGGAAAGTGGTGGCTCTTGCACTTTGGTCCCCAAACTCATGAGGGCATTAGAGAGTCGGTCTGATGCACCCCAAATCCACATTTTCACTGGAAAACGTGAAACAGGGTAGAAAACATCAGAGCGCTCTACACACAAGCGGCATAAAGGTTGTTTGGTCAAACATCTTTTTGGTTACACGTCGGTGCTGGGCCGTGATACAAACGCATCGTTCCTTGTTGTCGGCCTCAAAATCGGCCAAAGCTGATGCTTCCGGACGGAGGCCTCTGTGCTAAACAAAAGGAGCCATTCGGGCTGCAGAGGTCAACAGACACGATGATTTCTACTTGTTGCCCTTGAAAGTGAATGTCATGGGGGAGAGGCAGTGCCTCGTCCCAAGTCCCATCCTCCGCTTTGCTGCCGTGGCAGCTGTCTCTCCATCTCCTCCGGGGGTGGCCGGCAGGGGGCAGGGAGCCAGACCTGTGACCCTGATCCATCACCGAATGATTCGTCAGCCTGGACCGTTGCAGGAGGAATGCCTAGAATTATGCCACCTCCCGGTGCGAGTCCATCAAAGGGGGAAGTACAGAATCAGAGGTGATTCCACTGCGGGAAGGGCATCACAGGGGAGCTCGTTTGGTGTTCGGAAGGAATGTTGTTGTGAAACCGGGAGGGCCGATTAAGATACCACGCAAGAACTTCCGTCTCTCGGGGGTGTCCACCCTGCGGCCCGCAGGCCACGTGTGGCCCAGGATGGCCTTGAACACGGCCCAACACGAAAACATAAACACACTTGAAGCATTATGAGGTTTTTTTGTGATTGTGTGTCGCACTGTATTTAACATGTGGCCCAAGGCAACTCCTCTTCCTCCGTTGTGACCCAGACATGCCAAAAAGTCAGACACCCTAAAGAAACAATATTCTCTACAAAAATCCTGGAGGAAAACATAGGCGGTAAAATCTCAGACATTCCCTGTAGGAGTACATCTTCTTCGGCAAGGGACAAAAACAAAAAAAAATACACAAATGGGACCACATCAAACTAGTCTGTTCACAGCAAAGGGCACCGTGGACCCGCTGAGTAGGAGAACGTGCTCACCGGTGATGCAGCCAATCAGGGGTCAACCTCCAAAATTTGTGAAGACCTCCTCCAACTGAACACCAAGTCAATAATCCGCTCAATAAAAGTAGGCAAAGGACCTGAACAGACACTTCTCCAAAGAGGACATACAGATGGCCAATAGACATATGAAAAGATGTTCAACATCACTAATCATCAGAGAGATGCACATTAAAACCACCATGAGATATTACCTCGCACCAGTTGGAGTGGCCGTCATCAATAAATCCACAAGCAACAAGTACTCGTGAGGATGTGGAGAAAGGGAACCCTCGTGCCCTGCTGGCGGGAATGCAGACTGGGGCAGCCACTGTGGAAAGCAGTGTGGAATTTCCTCAGAAAAACTAGAAATGGAACTGCCTTTTGACCCAGTGATTACACCCCTGGGAATTTATCCAAAGAAATCCCAAACACTAATTCAAAAGAATATGTTCATAGCAGCATTATTTCCAATAGCCAAGGTTTGGAAACGGCCCCAAACAGCCATTTCTAGGTGAGTGGATTAAAAACCGTGGCACAGTGACACAATGCAATGCTACCCGGCTGTAAACATGAAGAACATCTTACCGTCCACGACAGCGTGGATGGACCAAGGGCGTGTGACGCTCACTGAAATAAGTCGGAGGAAGACACATGCGCCACGTGGGGAAAAGTTCTGCAGTTTCTCTGCATGGCAGAAATTTTTCTAATGAAAGGAATTTTAGGCCCCATATAATTAACTCCCTGCAAGCTTGAAGCTTTAACCCATTTTAAATTCTTTTATTTGCCAAGTTTGTTTTATTTTTCCAAAAGGAGGAAATGCTTGCTCTCAATTGCAGGTTTTGGATCCTCGTTTGAAATTATTGGTTCTGTATCACCTTAGTTAAAACAGTAGAACATGTATTATTCGGTATTAATACTTACCAGCTTCGGTACTGATTTCCGAGTAATTCCTCAATGGTGACCGTCCAGACTTGAAGTCCGCTTCAGGAGCCCAAAGGCACTAATCACACACAGGGTACCCCAGAAGGTGTAAGAAATGATTACGTGGGTCTCAACACATGGTGAAGGCATTTTTCGAAAGGCTCTTACAGTTTACGAATAAACAATGAGTGATTTGAGGTCAGCTGTGTGCGCTCTTACCCACTGAACGTGAGCCGAGCTGCTTTGGTTCCGAGGCTGCCGGCAGTGAGTCCTCTGTGAGGTCAGCCTGGGGCGTGCCCATGGAGGGAGGGGCGAGTTAGAAAGGCGGGCGGGGCAGGGTGGGCTGGAAGTGCAGGAAGCTCGGGGGACCAACACAGTCGGTTACAAAGGGCCTTCAGCATCAACCCCACACCACCATGTCTGGGGCAGGTGTTCCCTGTTTTCATGGAATTGATGGGGGTGTCACTGGCTACCAAACTGACACAGGTCTCAGGTGCACGATTGCACAGCACATCACCTGTACACTGTTGTGTGCCCACCTCCCCCGGTCACGTCTCCGCCATCATTGTTTACTTTGAACCAGGGGCTCAGGCTGGCGCCGCGGGGCCGGTGCCGAGACGCTCTGTGAACACAGACCCCAGGCGGCGCGGCCCAATCAGACACGTCAACTTGTCTGGATATATTTATTAGTGACGTTCTGTGTAAAGGAGGGACAAGGACAGACCAGATTGGAAACCTGGAAGTCGCAGCTACATTTCACGTTGAGTAACTTCTCACACATCCGAGCGACTGAAGGTTTTGGCTGGATTTC